TCCCGTGGGAGGGACCCCATGCTGGAGCAGGGGAAGAGTGTGAGGAGTCCTTCTGCTAAGGAGGAAGGAGCGACAGAGACAACGTGTGATGAACTGACCAAAACCCCCATTCCCCGTCCCCCTGCGCTGCTCGGGGGAAGGAGGAGGTAGAGAACTTGGGAGTAAAGTTGAGCCTGGGAAGAAGGGAGGGGTGGGGGGAAGGTGTTTTAAGACTTGGTTTTGTTTCTCATTACCCTACTCTGATTAGATTGGTAATAAATCAAATTAATTTCTCGAGTCTGTTTTGCCCGTGACGGTAATTGGTTAGTGATCTCCCTGTCCTTATCTCGACCCACAAGCCTTTCATCATATTTTTCTTCCCCTGTCCAGTTGAGGAGGGGACGTGATAGAGCGGCTTGGTGGGCACCTGGCGTCTAGCCAAGGTCAACCCACCACAACAGGAAGAGCTTAGACCTGGTGCTGGCTCTCTTGCCTGTTAATCTACAATCTTGATATTATTTTGGCATGTGTCCATCAGACATCAGGAAGCACTGCAGATGCTTTAGAATTAATGTAGGACCCCAGGAGTTTGTCAGATTTGTACTTCCTCACATATTCTGGGGAGTTATGATCAACAATTGCTGTGTTTCCCACTTTTTACGGAGAATCACAAAAACGACAGCATACAATCCACAGAAAGTTCAGTAAGTTCTTATCACCTGGCGTTATCCTTGACAGTCAGTCTTACAGAAATTCTTCCATCGATGACTATGGTACCTCTTAGGTTTCTTACCCATTTTAGGACAAATACATATCTTATGATTTCAGATCTGCGTGTTGCTTATACCTTTTTCCTCTTACTTTGAAGAAATAGTAGGCAGTGCTTTATTCCAAGCATGTCACTTGTTCGCTGCACTGAAGTAGACCTTAGTGTCTTGGTAGCTTATCTTACCTCTTCAGTTTTGGTGACTGCCTGTGGAAAATCTGAAACGGCTTCCGTATTTAATATTGGTACCTTTACTAACCTGAAGAAGTGTGGGAACAAAGTAAGATTTCTGCCTCTTAGTTTTCCCAACTATTGGCAACTCCCAGTTTCCTGGGTTTAATCAGTTTCTTGATTGAACTCAAAGTTAGCGGTAGCTAAAGATCAGCATGCTAGAAACACAATCGGCAGATCTCTGCTGCTTGCTTTGCTTCTGGGGAAGCCTGGATCCTATGCAGGGGTGTTGGGGGAGAGCAAGGAGGATGTCTCTGACTACACTGAGTGCCCAGAAATACCAGTACATGGTAAGAAAGCTGGGAAGCGAGGAACGTTCAAAAGGGGAGGGTGAAAGACAAAAACCAGGGATAAGGAGCAAAGTTCTGTCTCTGTTAGAACAGTCTATTGAGCTGATAAGTGGTTCCATTTGCATGCTCTGGTTTAATGGCCTTGCTGGTTTGTTGGCTACTGGGGACAAGAAATCAGCCTTCTGTTAAGATTAGAATAGGTTTTTTTAATTCAAGTCCAGATTTTTTAAAAATAATTTTCTGAAAAATTCTAGTAAGATTCCCAAAACCATTAAGATGTAGTTGTACACGTTGACCTTATTTTTGCCTTCAAATGCTATCTGTGAGTTCCCCTGATTTCTTCCATTGACCAGACATATTGATTTCTCTAAAATTTAAATATCTGCAAAAAGAACTCTTAATCTGCACTGCTGTTCAACCTGACTATTTAAAGATGTGACTTTTCAACATGTTTTATCAAGATGAGCTTATCTTTTCAGGATCTTTCTAAGTTTATCTCTGAGTGCACGGGTAGGGAAATGTTTGTCTTGTTGCAGGACAATCTGTATTCATGACCTTTTAAGAATACTAATGCTATTTGCCATTCATACCTCTGCTGTTAACACTTCATTTGTGAAAGATATGCAAACACAAATGCTTGGTTTGTGTCCTTTAGCAAAATTAATGATTAATGAGCAGAAAAGTCTCAGAAGATTCTTTATATTTTTGCTTTACAGATTTCTTTCTAAATGCTTAATTCTGAAAATGTTCATAATTTTTTTTTCCAGGGTTGAAATACTAAAAATCTTGTAAAAGTTCTTACCTGGCACTTCCACATGTTCTTTAGTAATTTGGTGATCAGTGCTGCTGCTTTACCTAAATGCACATATTTACAAAATGCGAACTTTTTTCACGATTAACAGCTTTACTTTGGCTAACAGAAAAGTTAATTTCACTTTTTGGGTCTCAGTGTGATATATTGGTGGCATCGCCAAGAGGATACATATTTTGACAGGAGACCTTTGTTGATCTTTGTGAAAGAAAGACAAACTAAATTCTAACCTACACAGGACAGGAGTGACAGTGTTCTTTCTGAAAGTTAGTATAACAGAGAAAAATTCATGTTGTGGTTATGGGCCTGAATGAGCCTCCTACTTAGATCTCGTGTTTTGTACCAGCATTTAAACTGTAAAACTTTCTGCTTTGCTACTTACATAACTATTCTCTTTCTTTTCTTCCAGACCTGGATTTTATTTCCTGGAACAAAATAACATTTTAGGGTGCCATTAATTTTCAGATTAAACGAGTCATAAAAAAGCTGACAAAAGAGCATTTACCTTCTTTTCACGAAGTTGTTAGTATTAGGATTTCTGGATCTTCCTCCCACCCTAATTCACTTCTTCCTCTTGGGTGCCTTACAATGAAGGCACTGTTACGGTTATTATATTGGAGCATGTTGCACAGGGAATGATTGATACTTTAGAACAGAAGGAAGCATAACTTCTTTCTTTAGCCTTAGTCTCAAAGACAAGCACTAACACGTTTTTGGGTGCTTTTTTGGCTCAAAGATTTCAGTCTTGGCATCTGCAGCCTTCTCGTTCCCGTTTGAATAATCAATTCCACATCAAAACCTTGCATAACTGTGGAATCGTGATGGCTGGACTGTGCGGCCCACCAGCGCTTATGCTTTAAAAGAAATAATAAGGTTTTCTATTCTTCTTCTAAATTCATCAGCCTCCCCTTAGCTATATTCTGAACAAACATGCATCATGGCAGTCCATTTGTTAGTGATACCTTCATCGCCTCCCTCCTTTATACATGATAATGTTCATGACCCTGCAGGTACTTTTGTACCTGCTATTCCAGTTGGTCCTTGCTCACCTTGAAGCAGCGACAACAGCAGGTGAGGTGGTTTGGGGGCAGTATTTCAACGTAGTGCTCTAAAGCAGATACTTATTTTACGGAAGTTGATGCTGAAGAGCTTGGGATCCTAGAAGGGGAAAGCTGTGTAGCCCAGGACAGTGAGGCAGGAGATGCTGGGGACTGGGAATCTCCCTTGCACACGTGAGATACCGCAGGTCTAGCGATAGCTAGTCCCCTGTGCCAAGAACCCCATTCCCAATACCTTTCCTCTCTGGATAATTTCAAATATTCCCCTACTTCCTTACAGCGCTCCTGCTAAACTTTTAGGTCTATCGGTGTGTGAGAGCTAAATATAGTAAAGGCAGGTACGACAGAGTAGGCTATGAAAGGCATGCAGGGCTGAAGGGAGCTTGCTGGTTGAGTTGGGGAGACGTGAAGGAAGGGAGAGGGGGAAATCAGTGACATATTGGAATTTGTTGTCATTGATGAGAAGCTGAGCTTTACTGGGAGCGTGACCTAGCAGGGTAAGAAGCAGTAAGGCTGAGAACTTATTTTGACACATCCAGCCCTTTTCTTTTTTTCTTTTTTTTCTTTTTTTTTTTTTTTTTTTGACCATTGCTGCAAATTATATTTCTGATGATTGCTTTGCAAGTAACTGGTCATCTCCTGTTCCCCTTGGATGGGTATGTTTATGATATAATGTATGTTCATTAGTTTAAGGTGCCCACACCTTCAGGCACCTCTGAATGTGCTGATGTGAGGGACTTTGGGTGAAAGTTTGGAGGAGCTGCTCGTTTTGCTCCAGGCAACAAAATTCAGCTTGCTAGCAGAGATTCGTGTAAATTCCCTGTTTAAAATGCAGCCAGTTGCAGTTGTATACGCTTCCCTCTGTAAATGACTGAGGTAGATTCCCTTCTTCTCTGCAGTCCTTTGTTCTCACTGAACGTTTAATCTATGCATGCGTATACGTGTGTCTGTGAGTATTCATCCCTTCTACATACACACTGTAACATGCATGTGGTGTACCTGTATACGAAATATCACACATTATTTAAACTGCTCTGATTCGAACTAGAGTGAGTTCTGGCTCTTCAGCTAAATAGCTATATCCCTGTTTCTCTTCACCAAAACATCTTTATGCTTGCAGAAAAAATACATATGGGGAAGAAGCAACCGTTTGGCTTCATGGCTGTATTTTCATACTGGTAGTCCTCCAGTTGAAACCTGCAGTGTAAGAATTCTTTCTTGCCATTGCTCCCGTGGATTGACATAACTTTTCTTTTTTATATAATTGCTATAAAAGCAACAGGATTAAAATCGGATTTTTTTTGGCTTTTTTTCTGTTTCAGTTTAGTTTCAGACATTAGTTTTCATAGAAATCTGGCCAAAAGCTCCCCAATGTTTGTATTCAGTGCAACTACTGTCCAAGCATAGTATTGCATGTAACTTACTGCCAAATCATATCTGAACCAGAAAAGTTGTTTGATCAGTATTACTCCAACCTGCTTAATTGCTTTTCTGTGTCAAGATGCTTACTTGCAGGAGACTGGATGGTTTTGGTAGAGCCATCTCTAGTTATCTAGAACTTGTTTCACATGTTTTGGCACTAAGGTACCTACTGCATCAGATGCTACTTTGCACAACTCTAAATACAAAAAGTATGGCAAGGTGCAGAAAAGAGGTCTCTTTTGGGTTGGTTTTTTTTATTTGCAATCATGAAAATTGACTTATTTTAAAAGCCCAGTTGACTCTTATGCTTTGAATCTTTTTGTTGCTGTGATAATCTCTGAGATGCTGCAAGAGCACTAAAGACTGAAAACTGAAATATGAGCAACTAAATCGTAACCCACAAAGCGGAACTCCTGTAAAACTGCAGTTAGTGCTGTGTGAAAATGGTCTAATTCAAGGCCTTCAGCTCTTACTCAGCTCTTTATCTCAAGGTCTTGAGTGAGTTTTGCACGTTGCCTTAGAAACAAGGAAGTCCCAGACACTTTAAGAGGTGACTGCAGGAGGCAGCAGTTTCATTTCATATTTCTCATCAATATCTGTGGTGGGGCAACCTCAGTCTTAGATACGTGATCCAGAAAACATGTATTCGGGTCAGCAAACTACGTATGGGAAGTGCTTGGTTATGTTGTCAGCTTGCACTGTGAGAATTTAAACCAAAGTAGCAAACAATTCATTCTCTTGGGAGTGATGCTGCATAGTAGCAGAAGGTATTCTACCATTATTTCTGTTCTTTGTTAACTTTGTATGTGCTTTGCAGTCCATATGTTATTTGGACACACTGGATGACTCATTAAAAGATGTTTGAAGAATTAAAAGCTGAGGAAGTGCCTTTTTTTTTTTTCCCCCCCAAAAATAGAATGCCCCTAATACAGCTAGAGCAATTCCAGCATGAATTCCAGTTTGGGTTTTAGCTTTATGATGTGCTTTGGGTTCATAGTTTCTTTGTAATGTGCCAAAGGTACCATTTGACTTCTCGAGGCTTAATCTTTCTCTTTCCTAGGAGCTGATGCAGCAGAATGATATTGGCTACGTACTAAATGCCAGCAATACTTGTCCAAAGCCTGATTTTATTCCGGAATCCCATTTCCTGAGAGTGCCTGTGAACGACAGCTTTTGTGAGAAAATTTTACCTTGGTTGGATAAATCAGTCGATTTTATAGGTGAGAAGAAAATTTAAATTCTCTCTCTAGAACAGTTTCTGGATTCATTTGTGTGTGTCTGCCTTGCTGTTTTGGCTGGAGAAGACCTGAACGCTTTCTGGGTGGTATGAAAATACCCTAAGGATCTACGTACATGATCACCATTACTTTAGAAGCACAGAAGCAAAATAACGTACGGAGATTCTGCCCCTGTGTGTTCCAGCACTTATGGAACAAAGACACTTTTTAAGAGCACAGCTCTGCTTTCTGGCAACCTAGTAGATGCCTGATATATGCCTGCAGAGAGCGAATTAGAAAATGGGATATACAGATCCTGTCTTCAGCTTTGAGAAGTGAGCTAGCCAAATTTGAACCGGCCAAATTGTTCCATCATGAATGCTTGCTTTTTACTTGCATATAAAATTAGAAACAATCACCTTTCCCAGACATTTAAATAGGGTTGTTTATGTGCACGTTAAAATGCGGTATGCTGTAACTGCAGTATGTTTCCTGTGTGTAGTCGCATGCTTTTTCTATACTCAGTGCTATACAGTACTAGAGAAAATAAGTAACTTTTGTTTAAAGCTTCCATGAGATTTGCAATTAGCAGTTCATTTGGAAGTTTTGAACAATTTTACATAACATTACTTTCTTTGCGAACTTTTCATGGTGGTATAATGATGCTGAGTGTGACACTTGCCAATTTCTTTGCTATGCAGAAAAAGCAAAAGCATCAAATGGCTGTGTGTTAGTGCACTGTTTAGCTGGAATATCTCGCTCTGCCACAATTGCTATTGCATATATCATGAAGAGAATGGATATGTCCTTAGACGAAGCTTACAGGTAAGGAGAAAACTTCCCTTCATATTAATTCTTCTGCCTGTTGGCTTGTTTTTCAGGTGAAGAATAAAAGGTTATATGACCAAGGGTAGAAGCAGACATGTTATTTCATCCGGTAGTTCACTAGCCTCTGCACACTCCGGTTTTAAAAGTAGGCTTCCTCCATAAACAAATTAGTGGTGTTGTGTAGACATCACACACCTAATACTAATTCCCCACCTGCAAAATGCTGGTGTTGGTCTTTGCTCTGAGTAGGCAAATACATGGAATTTAAACTGCTTATTAAATGTGTGTGTATGTACATACATATACACACACAGCTATAGCACGCATAAAACAATATCTTGCAAGTCAGAGAGAGAATGGAGTGGATAGAGTTAAGGAAAGAGAACTGAGGATATTTATAATCACGCTTATGACACATGCTAGGCTGGAGCTGTTGATTTCAGTTTGGTATTTGGTAATGCTCTCGAAGAACTGCCTGCAGGTGAAATGTCTAGGAATTAAGAAAGCTTCTTTGTTGCTATTAAACTCAACCGGAAAGTATTGGTTCTTTGTGGGAATTTTGAATTTTTGTGGGACCACCTTCCCACCCCCACCCCCCCTTTTTTCAAATCCCACATTTCTGTACTTCGATTGTGAACACTTCACTAGATTCCAGGTGGCTTTTGCAGTTTATCCCACGTTTCTGTACTTCGATTGTGAACACTTCACTAGATTCCAGGTGGCTTGGTTGCAGTTTACCATGACTTCTCTATTTCATTGAACAACCTGCTTTGTTGTGTTGTACAGAAAATGATGGTTTTCTTTTTGATGGGCTTTATATGCTAGTTGGCACAGCTGACGCATCGCTATAACGTGAACATTTGATATTCCCTTGTGGAGCGTGATTTCCATGGGGCATTTTCTTTTAAGCTGATGAACATAATTATGTATGCAGCGAAAAAAGTGCATGTGAGAGGTGCCTGAACTACAACCATCTCCCCTTGCCTTTAGAAATTTTCCACCGTTTCTTACTAGAGTCTGCTGACAGTTCAGTGTTGTGCAGTAATTTCAACATGTATGGTGAAACAGGTTTGGTTAAGAGGCATAGATGAAAACTCACAGTTATACAGGTATAGATAATACGGATGAATTAGTGGATGTGGATGGATACTGTGCAAGTTATGAGCTTGATTCACTAAAAAAACCTGTCTGGTCTCAGGCTGTAGTGGTCTGGAGGTTAAGCTGTAGAGTACCAAACACTTCTAAAATGCACATGCTTCAGGGAACTTCTAAAGTGCTGCTTCTAAATTCCTCTGGGAAATCTCTGCATTAAATTCTAGTTTGTTTCTTAACTAGAAGCGTCAATTGAGTGCAAAGGATTAATCATCCTAGGCCTTTTTTTACTTTGCACTGTTAATACCGAACAGCTACTGTGAAATACAGATTATGTTTTGCTATATTTCCTTTGATACGGCTTAGTGAGAACAGTCTGCAGCACATTTCACTCATTGGTTTGGGATCTCTTGTTGGCAAAGCTTGAAAGAAAAATACTTTTCTCTGAGTTAATGAAAGTCATTAGATAAAACATTCATCTGACACTATTACAAAAATAAAAAGGTGACACTGTTACTTGAAGTGAAAGATCTGAGGAAAGAAATGTTTTTAATCTTTTCTTTTGTATAATGGAAAATCCAAGGGAAACAAACATAAAAATTAAATGTTATGCATGTTTTCCAATTGGAAAAAAGAGTGTGCATTTTGAAATGAGAAAGTTTGCAAAGCCTTAAAACTTGTTGGGGGGAATCCAGCAGACTTTCTTTGAACCCTTTTCATTTTTTAAAAAGCTAGTTTTAAATTTAGGACTGCCCAATATTTTGGGGTGAGACGAGGAGAAAGTGGAAGGGAGAGGCTACCGGAACACAGGCCAGAAATTGCAGTGTTGTCCAGAAGGATCTTGCTTTAAACAACAAATCCAATAACAAGTACAACTAGCTTTGACTGGAAAAGAATGAATTAAGACTAATGAATTCTTGTGAGTGAATTGCTTACAGTGGAATAAAAGCCCCCAGGTTCAATGCTAGGAGATCGACCTAAAAGATCTCTTCTGAGATGACTTTTACTAGTTTTCTCCATTTGCCAGTGTTGGCACTTCATGGTGGAAGTTTCCACTATCACTTTGCGCAATCTGATCTTCCAGGTCATCATGTCAGCTCCACTATTCCTGCTATTGATTGTTGTTTGGCAACTTAAAAAAAAAATAAAATGCAAGTTTTGTTTGGTATTTTTCATGTGCTTGCTTGCATTTGTGCTAGTGTATGCATATATGCACAAGTACACCTTCGAATTTTTTTCATGCTGTTTTTAATGACTGGACACTCACCTTCTGTACACATCCCCAGAGAGATTTTTTTGCTTCTAATAATAATTAATTTTCCCAGTGATACGTTATATGTGTGTTTGTACTAGATTTAGCTCTTCAAGGTTTCTTCCCTTGTTAGTTCCCTTGTCATCTGGTACCTTCACAGTTCCAGGAATGCTTTTTTTAAAAAAAAAAAGAGGAGGAAGGATTTGGGCAGCTTTCTGTTTTACAGCCTGTAAAAAGCAAAGAGTACTTATTTAGCTATATTGCAAATCAGACAGGTAGGAAGTATTGCTTTTGTATTTAACTTTGAAGTATATAACGTGACTTCTAATACTTAAGTCTTTCATACATTTAGAGTCCTGGTTCAGGAAAACATTTTAAGTATGCATTGCACCTCGTCCATATTCAACCGAGTATGTAAGTGCATGCTTAGATTGGCACGTGTATGCGAGTCAGGCTGCTTCCTACAGGACTCGAAAATAGGTTAACTCTTCCAGTGATTTGGTAATACTGTTGCCCTTTACTGCTGAACACCTACAGAGCTGGAGAGAATGTTTTTGTTTTAATGCTGCGTTTGCTCTTTTCTGGTTTTGTTTTTGATGATCGTATCAGTGGTCAGTAATACCAGTGGTCAGTAATATCAGTATATGGTAGAAATCACTGGCATTTGCTGTATAAGGTCAGCATCTATCAGAGCTCTGCGTCTTCCCTGATACAGATAAACAGGGTAGGAAGCACTCACTGCAATAACAACAGCATGAGAGAGGTGAAAGGAACACGGGGTTTCATCCCTTTGAATAGTGGGGAAGGTGGTCTGCTTTCTGCAGTGCAGGGGAGGCTGAGGTCTCTTGGCTAGACCTCTGATGCTGTTCATGCAGAACTTGAGGAGCTCTTAACTCTGATCAGAAACCAAGGTAGCAGAGATCCCACTGGTGAAGTAAAATAAAGAAAATGATTCCCTCAAACCTTGTTGTGGACATCATAAAGAGGTAAAAAGAATGCTTCCTTTTACCTTTTTTTAGCCACCTACAGAGAGAATTGAGAGCATCCAGCATTATCTGGCTTAAAAGCTGCCTTTTTTTTTTTTCCACATCCATGTTTCCTGTGCTTGACTGAACCTCAGTCCAGGCATCCTGACAAGTTAAGGTTAGGCTGTTGGCATTCGCAACAATCGCTCTAGGGTTATCTCAGGTCTGAGCAGCAGGTCCTTAAATTAATTCTTGTTTTGTTTGTCCCCTCTTTCCAGATTTGTGAAAGAAAAAAGGCCAACCATTTCTCCCAACTTCAACTTTCTGGGCCAGCTTTTGGACTTTGAGAAAAAGATCAAGAACCAGAGTGGTCAGCCTGCACATATTAGTAAGCTGAAACTTCTGCATTTGGAAAAAAGCAGCGAGCACGTGCTGGTCCCAGAAGGTGGGCAGAGCAGCCTCTCCACTAACCAGCTCTGCATTACTGCTACCTCCGAGATCGTGGAACAGAAGCCGACGGACTGCGGCAGTGCACCATGCGGGCACTTGTCCCCTCTGGAAGATGGCCCACTGGTACAGGGCATAAACGGACTGCACGTCTCCCTAGATAAGGTGGAGGACAGCAACCGGCTGAAGCGCTCCTTTTCTTTGGATATCAAATCTGTATCCTACTCGGCAAGTAACAACTGTGTGACTGCATCGGTTCAGGGCTTTGCCTCCTCCGAAGACACCCTGGAATACTACAAACACGCGACTGCTTTAGAGGGCAGCAGCAAGTTGTGTCAGTTCTCCCCTGTCCAGGAGGTCTCGGAGCAGACCCCAGAAACCAGCCCTGACAAAGAGGAAGCAAACCCTCCCAAGAAACCCCAGAACACCTGGCAGCTGGATAGCCAGAGCAAACGGCAACACCTGGGGAGAGCCAGCAGCAGTGCCACCACTCAGCGGTCACTCCTGTACCCCCTCCACCGGAGCGGGAGCATGGAAGACAACTACCGAACAAACTTCTTGTTTGGTCTCTCCACCAGCCAGCAGCATTTGGCGAAGTCTGCTGCTGGGCTGGGCCTCAAAGGCTGGCACTCGGACATCTTGGCTCCTCAGACATCGGCTACGTCCCTTACCAACAGCTGGTATTTTGCAACTGAGTCCTCACATTTCTACTCTGCCTCCGCCATCTATGGGAACAGCGCTGCTTACTCTGCCTACAGCTGTAGTCAGCTGCCCACAGGCTGTGACCAAGCCTGTGCTGTGCGCAGGAGGCCAAAGCAGGGTGATCGAGGTGACTCCAGGCGCAGCTGGCATGAGGAAAGCTCTTTTGAAAAGCAGTTTAAGCGCAGAAGCTGCCAGATGGAGTTTGGGGAGAGCATCATGTCAGACAACAGATCCAGAGAAGAACTGGGGAAAGTAGGCAGTCAGTCGAGCTTTTCAGGCAGCATGGAAATCATTGAAGTGTCTTGAGGGGCAGCAAGCTTGTGTGACTCTATTGGAGCTGCTTCCTCCTCCAGGCCGCTCCCCCAGCATTTGAGAGGTCCCTGTAAATCTGAAAAGAACGAACTTTGTGCAAAAAGGTGGGGGGGAAGGGAAGAAATGTGAGGCTTCAGTGTGAACACAGTGAGTAGATTAATACAGCACAGAAATGACAAGTGAGCATCTGCCTGAGGAGATCGAGTGTACCGCTCGGTTTTTCTCCTCCCCTTCCCTGGAGAAGGGCAGAACATTTCAAAGATCTTTCCCTGACAGAGGAAGCAATTATATGCAATGGATTGCACATCCTTTCAGTGGTTTTTAAAAAGGAAGCTCTCTTGGTATCAAACCCTTTCTCTGGTTCCACTGAAACACGCTCCTACCCATCGAAGCTAGTTTTGTTCTCCCCTCCTTGCGCCCCTCGTCTTCACCAGTGCACCTTAGCCCTGACACTGAGCCAACCTCTGGAGGGAGACCTTTTTCCCGTAAGAAGGGAGACCGGGAGCGATTCCAAAGGATGTAGGGACTGGTTACAGCAAGGCTGGTCTGAACACACAGTTCAGACAAATGTAAATACTGGTGTAACTATTGTTCTAATGGATAGGCTTTAGGCGATTCGCTAGAGAGCTGCTTCAGAGAAAAAAACCCCAGTACCTCAAAAATATAAAAATAAACTAGGGCTTTATGGCTGCCAGATGCTGGTAGTCAGTTCATAAGCAATGTGAACAAGTAACGATTAGCCACATTTGATTATTTTTTTTTTTTTAAAGCTGTCTACGCACAAGTGTTTCAGTTGGCTCAGCAGCAGTTCTTAAAAAGACAAATGAACCATACTTATGACTGTTTCCCCCAGTCTTTTGAACATAAAATAAGCAGTATTTGTATTTTTTTATATTAAGCTGGCTTCTGGGAGAGGGGTAGCTGCTTTGGCTTCTAAGCTATAATCGAGTGGTTAATACTTAGGGTTACGCAAGAGAAGTGTGGCTGGTACAGATCCACAACAACCCTTTTTTTCCCATTGACAAATTAATA